ATGCTTTCAGGGGACATCGAGGTCAACTGGCATAACAAAGCTTATTAAGAAAATGTTCTGCATCCTACTTTGGTGAGTGGCTTCTGGGGTCTTAAAAGGTTGCAAGCAGCCATCTAAGATGCATCAATTGGTCCCAACCACCTGGAGTAAAGGAGAACGAAGAACACCAAAGACACAAGGAAAGTATTAGCCCGAGAGACAGAAAGGGCCACATAAACCAGAGACTCCATCAGCCTGAGACCAGAAGCACCAGATGGTGCCCAGCTACCACCAGTGACCGCCCTGACAGGGAACACAACAGAGAGTCGCTGATGGAGCAGGAGAAAGGTGGGGTGCAGAACTCAAATTCTATTAAGAAGACCAGACTTAATGGTCTGACTGAGACCGGAGGAACCCCGGAAAGCATGGCCCCTGGATTCTCTATCAGCCCAGAACTAAAATAATTTCCAAGGCCAATTCTTCAGACAGGGATTGGCCTGGACTGTGGGACATAAAGTGATACTCGTGAGGAGTGTGCCTCTTAGCTCAAGTAGATACAAGAGACTAAACAGGCAGCTTCTGTCTGGAGGTGAGACGGGAAGGCAGAGAGGGTTAGGAGCTGGTTGAATGGACATGGGGAATCAGGTGGAAAGGAGGAGTGTGCTGTCACAGTATGGGAAGAGCAATTAGAGTTACATAATTATGTATAAATTTTTGTATGGGAAAAAATTTTTAAAAAAGGCATCACTTTGTAAAATTAGTAAAATATAACTTTAAATAGGGAATCCCTGGGTGGTGCAAAAAGTTAACACAGTCTGCTGCTAGCTGAAAGATTGTCGGTTCAAGTCCATCCAGAGGTGCCTCATAAGAAAGGCCTGGGAATCTACTTCCCAAAAATCAGCCATTGAAAACCCTAATGGAGCACAGTTCTACTCTGACACACATGGGGTCACCATGAGTCAAAATCGACTCAATGGCAGCTCTGTTTTTTTAAGCTTTAAACAATTTTAATGATGAAAAGTAAAGTTCTGTCTCCGTATTGGAGTTGTCGTCTCCTTCGGTCCAGAATGAGACCCTGGCCACCTGTGAGACACACTCTACGGGACTCTTCACCTCCCTCGGTGGGAGGACTCTGAGGTGGATGTCTGGCCTAGTCCTGATTCCGGGTCTAGAAGGTCTCCCACTGCTCTGCGGCTTCTCTTTGACTTTGCAAAGCATGGATGTGACTGCCAGCTTAGCACTCAGACATTTTCATCTGGTGTGTTTTGGTCATCGTTTTGTAAGCATTTGTCTTGGTTTTATGAGGGCAGGAACAGCCTCTTAACCCAGTCTCTTAACCCTTCTCCCAAAGCCTCCACACTGCCCAGCCGAACTGAACCGCAGCTACGGCGCATACCACTGCGCATGCGTGAGCCGCGGAGGCGTTACCCATGTCACAGCTCCGGGCTGGCGGCCAGGGGAGCCTGGCGTCACCTCTCTTTCCACAAATGTCTTCATTCAAACCAAAGACTTATTGCCTGATGCTGCTGCTGCAACTTTTTGTTTTTTAAAAGCTATTTCCCTTTTTTTTTTTTGAAATATAGGATGCTTTCATTGGATTTGGAGGAAATGTGATCAGACAACAAGTAAAAGACAATGCCAAGTGGTACATCACCGATTTCGTGGAGCTTCTGAGAGAACTGGAAGAATAATGTCAATTTTTATACAGCTGATTGATAACTTCAGATTAATTTTTACCAGTGAAACAGATCGATACTGTTTGCTTAGAATTGCCTATTACAACTTGATGGATAAATTTGGTACTGATTCTTTGTACTTTCTAATAATCTACAGGTGGGGCTCCAAGAAAATTCCCCCCACCCTTTTTTTTTTTTTTTTTTAACCGTAGTTCCAGTATTATTATGACCACTAATTACCTGGAGAGTTTTATAATCTGAATTCTTTATGTCTGTTCCTGGGTGTATTTTATCTGAAGCCTTTTAAAGATGAATAGTCAATTAAACACATTTACTCTGGGAAATATGGATTAGGCAGCCTTAAGTGAATATTGGTGTTCTTTATGGTATATAAAATAAAAATTTACCCGTGCATCAGAACAGATCTGTGGAATTTTCAATTCTGCCTTTCATGGACTTAGAGTCAGTACTTCAGGTAGTTTAAATGTTTAAATAGATGTAACCTCCAGGCAAGGAACAGATCCAAGACTCTCCTCGGTGTCAACAGTCCCTGGGTGGCATAAATGGTTAGGCGCTTGACTGCTAACTGAAAGGTTGGAGGGTTGAACCCACCCAGAGTTTCCACGGAAGAAAGGCTGGCTATATACTTCCAAAAAATCAGCCGTTGAAAACCCTATGGGGCGCAGTTCTACTCTGATACACATGGGGGCGCCATGAGTCAGGATCAACTTGACTGCAACTGGTTGGTTCTTTTCAGTGCCGCTGTTCAGTGCCACTCACCGTGTCTCCACCATGCACTCCACTTCCCGCTCTGAGCTCTGGGGGAAGCACTGGGCCAAAGGCTCAGATGTTCCTTTTTACCTCTTGGAATTTGTCACATGTGGATTGTTTCAAAGGTCTTTTTTAAAAATACCAATGGAGTCTTGAACCAAAGTGCTGATCTTAAAAAATAGATATTGAAAACCACATGAAGTAAAAGAAATAAAAAACAAACTTTACTAACCCAAAAGGAAGATTAGCATTTCCTTTAAATGAATTAAGAAATAACCCCAACAGACCGTGGTGTCAGGAAACATCTAGAGCAATTGGCATAACATAGTTTATAAAGAAAATGTTCTACATTCTACTTGGGTGAGTCGCATCTGGGGTCTTAAAAGCTTGTGAGCGGCCATCTAAGGTACTCTGCTGGTCTCACCCCATCTGGAGCAAGGGCGAATGAAGACGACCAAAGACACAAGGGAAAGATTAGTCTAAAGGACTAAGGGACCACAGCCACCACAGCCTCCACCAGACTGAGTCCAGCACAACTAGATGGTGTTTGGCTACCACCACCGACTGCTCTGACAGGGATCACAACAGAGGGTCCCGGACAGAGTTGAAGAAAATGTAGAACAAAATTCTAACACACAAAAAAAAAAAACCAAAAAGACCAGACTTACTGGCCTGACAGAGACTGTAGAAACCCCAAGAGTATGGCCCCTGGACACCCTTATTGCTCAGTAATGAAGTCACTCCTGGGGTTCACCCTCTACCCAAAGATTAGACAGGCCCATAAAACAAAACTAGACTAAATGAATACACCAGCCCAGGGGCAAGGACGAGAAGGCAGGAGGGGACAGGAAAGCGGGTAATGGGGAACCCAAGGTCAAGAAGGGGAGAGTTGACATGTTGTGAGGTTGGTAGCCAATGTCACAAAACAATATGTGTATTAATTGTTTAATGAGAAACTAGTTTGCTCTGTAAACCTTCATCTAAAGTACAATAAAAAAAGAAAGAACCCCAACATCATATATGATCCATTTCTTTTTTACAGATGACTTGAAAAGACCTGAGAGCCACATTCCTCTTTATTCTGAGCAGTGCCAAGAAAGGGAAATTTCAGAACATGCTTTGAAAGTCCCAGATTATATCCCCTTCCTGGTGGGAAAATGGTGTGTGTGTGTGTGTGTGTGTGTGTGTGTGTGTGAAGACACTGGCTTAGGAAGGAATGCTTGGATCCTGTTGGATAATTAAGTAGAAAAGGCCGTGAGATGTTACTATTGGAAATTATTGTAAAAACTTATAATTTAGCCAAGCAATTGAAGCCGGCCAAATAAATAATTATTTAGCCAGGTGGTCAAATAGATGAATCCGACTTCCTTCAAAAGCAGAGTTTCCATAGGAGAGACATGAAGTCGGTTTGGACATTTAAAGGAACTCAAGAACAACGAGGCAGTTGTTTCATAGTTGTGAATATTCACTGGCAACGCTCCTAGAAGCTATCGTGCAGCGTTTGTGCTACCAGCAGTGTGGTGCTGGAGCAGGATTGGGCATGCCAGGTCTGGGGAAGGCCTGCAGAGCCTGGCGCCCACACGGCAGGGACCTGAACGAGAGGGGGCACTACATTCGGCTCAGAGGAGTCTGATTCACTGAGAAATGGTGATGCCCACGTAGACCTTGTACGGCTGTCACCCAGCCCCTCCTCGGCCCCACAGGCCTCTCAGTTCTCTGCCCAAAATCCCACACAATCCCTTCTTTGTTGTCTTGGAGGGTGAGTTAAATGATGCAAGAACTGCACTAACCTCTCGTGCTTTTCTAATTCTGGATTCTCTGGAAACAGCTGCAGAACAGTTCTCCCAGGAGTTATGTACATGGTTACACAAGGACCAGGTTTGGAAAGTGGTGGCAGTGTTTCCTGTCCTCATTGTTGTAGCTGCTGTCCAGTTGGCCTTAACTCTTGGTGACCCCACGTACAAGGGACCGAAAGGCAGCCAGTCCTGTGCCATCCCAGTGATCAGTGCTGGGGATCCGACTGTTGCGATCCATAGAGTTTTCATTGGCTGATTTTCAGAAGTAGATCACCAGGGCTTTCTTTCCAGTCCATCCTACTCTGGAAGCTCTGCTGAAACCTGTTCAGCACCGGAGTAACACGCAGTCACCACTGACAGATGAGTGGTGGCTGCGCATGAGGTGCACTGCCTGGGAATCGAACCCACGTCTCCCGCATGGAAGGTGAGAATTCTACCACTGAACCACCAGTGCCTCCTCTTTCCTTGTTATACCATGTTTTATTATCTAAACACTGATTATATAAATAGAAAAAAAAAAAGTCAAGAACTGGGGTCATAACAAAATTAAGGATTGAAATTTGTCTTGGTATTAAGTCAAAACAATACAAGTATCTCACAGCCTTTAAATGCTCAGAACAAAACAAAAAGATGGCCTTCTGGTGTTCTTCCTTGTTTGGTCTGACTGCTGCCATGATGATGCACCGTGTCTCTCTCTTCTACTGGAAGCAGGTGTTTCCCCCAATGGACACCCGGGGAGGCTCACCCGGCTGCCACGCCAAGAGCCGGGAGCCGCATTCCAGTACTAGGGCAGGAAAGAGTCAAGTAGTCTGCAATGCAGCACTGCCACCACCTGTCTGTCCGTGGAGACTTGTGTGTTGCTAGGATGCTGAACAGATTTCAGTGGAGCTTCCAGACTAAGACAGATTAGGAAGAAAGGCTTGGTGATCTACTTCAAAAAACCAGTCGATGAAAACCTTATGGATCCTGGAGCAACAGAGGAGGAAGGAAAGTCAGGAATAGGAGGAGGATATGGAATGTGTGGCTAACTGCCTCCATGAACAACTGCAGTCCTTCCCCAAGACCAGAAAAACTCGATGGTGCCCGGCTACCATTACTGAACACTTTGATCAAAGATTCTACAGAAGAATCCTGATCAAAACGGGAAAAATGCAGAACAGAATTTCAAATTCTCACGGAATCTATGCCTTCTGGGGCCATGGAGGCTGGATGAACCCCTGAAACTATTGCCCTAAGACAATCTTTAAGCCTTAAACAAAAAATATCCCCTGAAGTCATCCTAAAACCAAACAATAGTTCAGCTTAACTAGTAAAGAATGTCTGCCTTGAGCACTATGCTCCCTAAAGACCTATATGGGATCAAAGTGACAACAGCAACTGGAAAGATAGGAGCCTTAGAGGGCCGTGAATTTATGTTAATGAGGGAGGGATAATGCAGGAGGATGAGAATGGTTGTACAACTTTAAGAATGTAATCGTTACCGAATCGTACATGTAGAAACTTGAATGGTGCATGTTTTTGCTGTGTATGTTCTCAACAACAACAAAATAAATAAGATTTAAAAAAAAGAAAACCCTATGGATCACAGTGGTCTGATCTGCAACTGCTCACAAGGATGGCACAGGCCTAGGCAGCGTTTTGTTCTGTTGTGCATGGGGTTAACAACAGCAGCCTCAGTAAGACAGCACAAGTAGGGTAGGTTTTGCCTCCATGACCCTCAGAATCTTTATGATCAGGCTCAGAACTCAGGGAGGGACATGGCCCCAGGTCACACTGCGCATTTTCACATTTTCCAAGGGTCTTTCATATTTCCTCACGTTGCCTCTCCCAACCCCTAGGTCAGCGGTATAGACACTGCTGTCCTTTTTACCAGATGGGAAACGTGTCCACCAAAGTTCACGACAGCTACGAGGTTGTCTCTCAGCTGGAGTCCAGGCCAATGATTTCCACAGTTTTCTTTTTATTATTATTATTATTTTTAATTGTGCTTTAGGGGAAAGTTTACGGAGCAAATTAGTCTCTCATTAAACAACACATATACTGTTTTGTGACACTGGTTGCCAACCCTGCAACGTGTCAGCACTCTCCCTCTTCAGACTTGGGTTCCCCATTTCCATTCGTCCAGCTTTCCTGTTCCCTCCTGCCTTCTTGTCCTTGCCCCTGGGCTAGTGTGCCCATTTAGTCTTGTATACATGGTTGGACTACATGTGTTATTGTTTGTTTTATAGGCCTGTCTAATCTTTGGGTGAAGGGTGAACCTCAGGAGTGACTTCAGTACTGAGTTAAAAGGGTGTCTGGGGGTCCACAGCTTTCTTTATCTTACGTATTAGTGAAAGTTAACAATTTACTGGGCTGGGAGTATCCATGCCAAGCTAAATTACCCAAAAGAATGTTTGAACACTGTGATCATGGGTGTCACCATATTAATATAGCACATGAAATTTTACTCTCTAGGGTGAAAGGCCTGGTTTGCAAAAAAAATTGAGTGGTTTTTCAAATTCAATGGTTTCCGAATGCCAGAAAAGGTACTAATGTGAAGTCAACAGAGGACTAGTCAGTACTTGACTCATCACTTTCTAACTTTGAAATTTATCCTATATTTTTAGATACGTCTAAGGCCTTCCCTTTGAATTTTTGCTGAGTTTATCTAGGCACATCATATAAACATAAAGATTTCAAGATATTTACATCAAAAATAATTTGAATAAAGATGCTATTCTGCTTTCTGAAGTTCTCATGTATTTTTCAATTATAACCGACAGTCTCCATACTTTGTCTTCTTCCTTGCTTCCTTTCTATTACTGTTGCTAAAACTATACACAGTAAAACATACACCAATTCAACAATTTCCACATGTACAGTTCAGTGACATTGATTGCATTCAAGTTGTACTACCACTCTCACCCTCCTTTCTGAGTTGCTCCTCCCCCGTGATCATAAACTTATCCCCTCCCTCCCTCCCTCTTCCTTCTTTCCACCCACTCATCAAACATATTGAGCATCCTCTATGTTCTAACCAACAACTGAGAAAACTATAAATTTAATTAAAAAAACTATAATGTGAACGGAAAAAGATCTTTCACAAGCTGTCGTGAGAAGAAGGGAAAAGAAGCAGGTTTTATCAAGTACTGGTTTGGAGAAGAGCAAAGCGTGGTTCTAAGAGGCTTTTACAGAGTGGCAAGGTTGCCCATTGAATGGAAAACTGGCTTTATGAAATAGACTTGCCAGCCTCAAATGATGATAGTTAAACATGAGTTGGCTTGTGTAAGTGATTTCATCAGACTTATGCCTAAATAATGGAAAATGAGTTTCCAGGTTTTAAGTATTGCCAACAAAAATTAGTAGTGGGACAAAATAACACAACTCATTCTTTCATAATGCATTTCATTCTTTTGGTTTACTGAAAGGATTTAACAAATTGAGCAGGAATTACTAAAATAAAGTGATCATTTGATAAATTAGCTTAGTAATAGAATGCTCTTGTCAAAGGGCACCAGTGACCACCATGCTGCTAAATTAACTATTAGCTATTAGACCTTGGAGTCCCTGGGTGGCACAAACGGTTAACGCATTTGGCTGCTACCTGCAAGGCTGGCAGTTCAAGTCCACCCAGAAAGAAAGGCCTGGTGGTCTACTTCTGAAAAATCAGCCACTGAAAATCTTACGGAGCGCAGTTCTACTCTGACACGCACAGGGTCTCCATGAGTCGGAAGTGACTCAATGGCAACTGGTTTTTATCAGACCTCATGTTACCCAACCTCTCAGCAGAATTTGACACAATGACCTCTCCTTATCTTTGATGGACTTTGTTCACTTGTCTTCTGTGACATCCCTTCACCAGTCACTTCTCAGCTTCCCTTGCCAGTTCCTTTTCACCCTCATCCTCTTCACTGTCTATATTCCCTCGACGAGCTCATCCAGCTTCGTAGCTTTAAATTCTACATGCTTACAATTCACAAATGGGTATCTCCTGGCCAGACTGCTCTCCCAAACTCCAGACTTGTATATCAACTACCTACCTGATACCTGGCATCTCCATCTGGATATCTACAAAGACATCTCAAACTCAACGTAAGAAAAACAGAATTCCCAATCTGAGGCAATTTGAAGCGGCCTTGGAGCCAAGGGAAAGAAGTTTCCTGACATCTACACAATTTATAAGTGAAAATCCCTTCTCTTCAGAAAAAATTTTTTTTCAGTTCTAAATAGCTAGATTGCTTTTACTAGTAATAATGATTCTACCATTTTTCTTTAATATCAGTCTAAGTTGTTTAGGTCCCAGGGTGGCACAAATGGTTAAGTGCTCAACTACTAGCCAAAAAGGTTGGTGGTCCGAACCCACCAAGAGATGCCTCAGAAGGCAGGCCTGGCGATCTGCTTCTGAAAGATCACAGCCTAGGAAATCCTATGGGGGCAGTTCTACTCTGTCACATGGGGTCACTAAGAGTTGGAATCAACTGGATGGCACCCAACAACATGCACATACGATGAGTCCCTGGCTGGCACAGCCAAGTGCCAGGCTAATAACTGAAAGGTTGGCTGTTCAAACCCATCCAGAGGTGCTTTGGAAGACAGGCCTGGTGATCTGCTTCCGAAAAGTCGCAGTCTTGAAAACCCTGTGGAGTGTTTTCAGTCCGTACACACGAAATCCCCATGAGTTGGAACTGACTTGACAGCAACTAACAACAAGTAGTTTAGAAACAGTCCCTTCATTCAATGCATTCTGCTAACATGGGCTGAACATCTGATTGGAGCCAGGTACTGTGCCCCAGGCCTGGTGAAGACAGCAGAGATGGCACAGCCCTGGTTTCCAAGGAGCTCAGTGAGGATTCAGACAGGGAAAGAAAAATTGGTTTTCATAAAAACTCAATTAAGAAGGCTGAGAGGGTGTTCTTTTCCTCATTTTGAAGATTAGGAAACAGAGGCTCTGAGATGTTTAAAGTCCCTTGGCAAGTCCGTACAGGCCCTGGCGCTAAAATGCAGGCTTTTTATGCCAAGCTCGATCGGAATATGGAGCTGCCTGTGTTGTAGAGAATGAAGAATGCTGCCTGCAGCTCTTTTCACTCTATCTTCTCTCTCCTGCTGCTTTGTGTGGCGCTACAAACGGCCAGTCATAGAATCCAGAGCTGAAGGGCCCTTCGAGGCCACTGGATTCAACCTACCTATTTTCTAGATTAAGGAACTCAACATCAAAGAGGGGAAGTAGGCTGTCAAGGAGCACAGCCTGGACTTGAATGAACCTGGCTCTTCGGATGGCAGCCCCCGCCCCCGCGCTTCCCACCACTAAGCCCTGGTACACAAATGTCCATTCCCCACAACCAGGCGGCCGAAGAAAGAGGCCTGTGGGCTTACTGAGTATTTTACTCTGTAGACTCACATGTGCCCACGGAGCTGGGACAAGCTATTTTGCACAAGTGACAGTGTCATTCTCAGCACAAGTTCATAAAAAAAGATTGCAGACGTGGAGTATGTGAAAATTAAGAGGTTTTTATTGACTTTTATATGTTCTTGCAGAAAACCATTCACATGTAAAAGTTGGACATTTAAGATTTATTCACACTGTGTTTTACACATAAATTATTTACTTTGGGGAGTAGACAGAATTTTTCATTTTAACAGGACTTTCACGATTACAGACACAAAATTGGCATACTATATTAAAAAATGAAATCAAACAGAGCTAGACAAAGGATGCAGCCTGATGCCAATTTAAATTTCAACATGCACTGCCCGTCCTCATACATGACCTTTGAAGTGCTTGCTACGAGCTTATTAAAATATCAACCAGAGGATGTCTGAGGTCACAAATGACTACTTACAAAATAAAACCTCTTTGCCTACTTGTTTTATTATAGAAAAATATTACAAATAAAAATTAGTGCTATTCAAGGTATCTGTTTTAAAATCACAGATGATACACAGGTTCAAGTCATTTTTTTCCCCTCATACAGAGACATCACGATACACTAGATTAAAACTGGACTACTGACTAGATGGACCTTGGCAACCACTACCAGCTTCCTGATGACATTTTTTAATATGCCAGCTGATTATAGATGAGAGTGAATTACAACATTTTTGGGTACTGGGTACACTCTTAATTTGTTCCTAGTTTGAGACTCAGAAAAACTCTTAGGGAAACATGAAAAAAAATCACATTTCTTCCTGATACAAGAAATTTGTCTAAAATCTGTAATTATAAAACATTTTCTTTTTATAAAGAAATGGCTAAAAAAATTTCTTCATGGTAGGAGTCCTATTTGGACATGATTCAAATTTAAATCTGGGCCCTCTTTTCTGGAGGCTGGGAGTGGAGGTGGGGCCTGGGTATTATACAGTATGTTCCAGAAACACAGGGGTGTTTCAAAGAGGACAACAGAGCACTGTCACAATCAGCCAAACTGCAATGGTTTCCTTTCTCGTGGTTACGGACATTCTAAAGAAAAGAGGTCTCTCATAAGCTATATACAGCATTTTACATGTCAGTGTTTCTTTTTCACATGATATACAATGTATACCATAAAATTAACTTATGACAAATACTTGTCGCTGAAATTCATGTAGGCACAGGTAAGGCAACTTTATAGCTTTACTGGAGGGGCGAAGTCTTCAGTGGGATCATGATTCTGGATTCCATTTCCTGAATAAGTGGGACTGAAAACAGGATCAAGATTACTGGGTGTCATGGATTGAATTATGTCCCCCAAAAATGTGTGTATCCATTTGGCTAGGCCATGATTCCCAGTGTTGTGTGGTTGTCTTCCATTCTGTAATTGTAATTTTATGTTAAAGAGGATTAGGGTGGGACTAACACCACCCTTACCCAGGTCACATCCCTGATCAATGTGAAGGGAAGTTTCCCTGGGGTGTGGCCTGCACCATCTTTTATCTCTCAAGATAAAACGAAAGGGAAACAAGCAGAGAGGAGGGAACCTCACAGTGCCCGGAGAAGAGCACGTCCTTTGGACCTGAGGTCCCTGCGCTGAGATGCTCCCAAACCAAGGGAAGACTGATGCATCACAAGGACCTTCCTCCAGAGCTGACAGAGAAGACAAAGCCTTCCCCTGGAGCTGACACCCTGACTTTGGATTTGTAGCCTACTGGGCTGACAGAATAAACTTCTCTTTGTTAAAGCCATCTACTTCTAGTATTTCTGTTATAGCAGCACTAGATGACTAAGACACTGGGCTTGTTCTTGTCTAAACAGATCATGGTAGATAGACACGAACAAACAGAAGGGAGCACTGGCAAATGAAGGGCTGGCCTTGGGGGCACCTGAGCTAATGACAGATCAGCTCACATCCTCTAAGATGCTATTAAAATGGACACAGATCCTGCCTGGGGATGGGTCTCCTTTGTGGAAAATCTGGAAAGCCCTACGTTGTGAGAAAAATGGTGCTTCCTCAAAAGGTTCTCTGAACTAAAACCAATGTATAGAACACCAAGTAATACTGCATTAGAACACAGCCTGTGCAAAGGCACGGGTATGCCGCACCAGTGGACCTGTCACCCATGAGTAAGACACTTCTGGAAACAAATGGAAAGTGTAAGAATTAACAGCAAAATCACATGCGCTTATATGATTTTTGAACTAAAAGACAGTATCTATTTTTTATAACAAATTACTCTTCCATTTTCTTGGTAGTATAGGGCTTAGATAACATACTTGATGTGCATCAGGGTTGGTCCTTATAACCTGTATCTGTATCACTGGACTCTATAATACAACCCAGTTATTTTGATTATCAAATGATTTTATATGTATGTATACGTATACACAAGAAGCCCTGGTGATGCTGTGGTTAAAGTGCTTGGCTGCTAACTGAAAGGTTGGCGGTTCAAATCCACCAGCTACTCCGAGAGAGAAAGATGTGGCAGTCTGCTTCCATAAAGATTACAGCCTTTTTGGAAACACTATGGGGCAGTTCTACCCTGTCCTATAGAGTTACCAGGAGTTGGAATTCGACTCGACAGCAATCGGGTTTTTGGTATATGTATACACACACATATACATGAGGAAAGTCTACTCATCAAATTAATTTCCAAAATTACTCTTTTTAATTGAAAAATGATGTTTTGGGGGACTGACAATTTTTATGAGAACAAGAAAGCTTAAAAATTTGTGTAATAAATTTTCAAAGAATATAGAAATCTATAAAAAGGTAATGATGTAAAATTTACAACATACAAGGGTCTGAAAACTGTACCAGACAACATATATACTTGAAAAAGGAATATTTTTCTTTATTGAAAAAAAAAAATCACGTAACTCCTAAAGAACATTCTGACTACCCTTCTCCCCACCAAAGAAACCTTATTAATTCACATCCTATGCTTTAAAATATATATGAATTTCAGGGTTAAAGAATATGCTAGAAACAAGAAAATGAGAAGAATCAAATGTTTTGTGCCTATTAGGATATTACCTGTATAATATACCAATTCTTCCCAGCCATGTTTATGCCATACTCCATTTCGTATATCTTCCCGCGTCTGAAGATCCTTGTAAGCTTAAAAACAACCACACAGACTTAAAATCAAACCCAACACCCCTACATTCCACTAGTATATCCATTAAGTGTTGATTCAGCTGGTTACAGAATTTTCTCAAAGGCACTACTTTGGGTATCCAGTACTGAACTGATTGTGAGCTGGCTATTCTGAGCAAACCTGTGTGCAAGATACTGTCCTAGGCCTTGTGAGACATGCAGAACAGTCCACTCTTAAGCTCTGTAGTCTAATGGGTCCAAGAGAATGGCTATATATTACAACCAAGTGAAAAATTACATGTTAAATTCATAACTAGAAACTGCTAGACCACTGATAAGCAATACTGGCTTCAATCAGCGTTCTAGGCAGTGGAGAACAAAAACACCAGCAAAGGCGAGGCCAAGGCCTGCCGAGTCTGTGCTGAACGCGGCAGTAGAGAGCAGACAGCAGACAAGAGCCTGGGGAGAGCTGCCCGGGAAGGTGTGGTTGGCCCAGGGGAGTCCTGAAGGCTGAAGGGACACCATCGACTATCTCCTGTGGTAAGGCGCAGGACGGCCTTTGAGGGAGCGTGGGAGGTGGGGCTAGAAAGGAGGCTGGGACCACTCTGGGAATGGCGCTCGGCGGCTTTCTCCTCTCTTCCCCACAGTTGCCTACTCCACCTCTCTTCCCTTTCACCACTATGCCCACTCTCAGTATCAACTCCCCCATGTGCCATGAGTCTATGTGTCTTTCACTGGTGGTCTCTAGTTCTAGATAGCCCAATGCTTAACTTCCACCTGTGAATGGACTTACTGCAGTGTTTAAGGTTACTGACTTGAGATTTGTTCCACTGCCTAGTACAACCTACCTCGTAATGAACTCTTATATTCCAGCAACTCGAAAAGAAAAGGAAAAAATACACACCCCACAGATGATGCACCATATAGAGCTGCCCAATCTGAGAGAAAAATCCTCCGACCGCTTCATTGCCATCCTGCCGGAAGCGAATCGCACGAGCCCTGAAAGAGAAGAACAATATGCTCAGTTATTGACTCGGATACGTTAAAAAGAGCCAGTAGACTGAATTTCCTCCACAATCAGGGCAAGCCAGCCAGAACGAAATCTAATTACTTTTTTAATAATCAATGCAATCTAACGTATTTTAATCTTTGTAAAATGTACAAGTACCTATCTGTAGCTGTATTAATCATTTTTATGAGATGTGAACAGTCATTAAGGATGACTACTAGAATGAAAACACCAGTGTGAAGATACATGTATGGTGGTTGCACTGCGGATTCCTACCGTAACGTGAAATCCACAAGGGAAAAAAAACCATCAGAGGATCGGGCCAGTCAACCTAAGAATTACTTCTCCAAGAACACTCTTTGAGAGGAAGTGAGGAGGAACCCAGACACCACAACACCCAAGATGCCACAGGTACTGTCTGTATCAGAGGACGACGGGACCACCCGACGGGACCACCCTGGAGAGCAGGGCTAAACCCGGAGGTGAAGGCAGTACACCTTCAAAGCTGCCAGACAGTGAGCCCTTGAGGAAACGCATGCTCTCTGAATGTGAAGAGGGTTCTGCAGCCTCTTGGACGTTGTATGGAAGCACCACAAAGGTGCAGCTCCTGGGCAGTGTGCCAACAATAGGACAACTGAAGCTGCCTCTTGGGGCTTTTCTGGTTTTTGTTTTTCCCTTACCAGAATAAAACATTCTGGAAAACAAGTACCATTAACGGTATTCATTATGCACTGTGTGTGGAGGAAAGGATGTGAATAAGAAAATTATGATTAAATTGCTTAAAACCTGGCATGTCTTAAACTTTCCTTTGTAACGTTTCCTGCTGCAGAAGGTACCAGCGGTTTCATTTCAAGGCCTTCTTCCATACGTGCACCAGGTACCTCTTTTCTATATGTGGTGATGCATCTGAATTCCTAAGAATGCTCATAATGTATGTATTTCTCCTAAGGCAGTTGTCTAGACTCAAAGGTGAAAATGAAGGAGGGGCTCAAGTGACACAGGGAGGTCACCAGGAGGAGGAAGAGGAGCTCTAAGTGATGTGCGGAGGTCACCAGGAAGAGGAGGAGCTCTAAGTGATGTGGGGAGGTCACCAGGAAGAGGAGGAGCTCTAAGTGATGTGGGGAGGTCACC